TCGCAAGGAGGATGTAGGTGTGGCGCTCGTTGGGGACGCCATCGACGTCTGCTTCGTCAAGATGGAGCCAGGAGGCGTGGAGGCTAGCAAGGATGTCGCCGCCTTTCCGCGGTGGATGGACGGAGCTTGCTAGGACGACGCATGTCGTCTTCTTCAACAAGCTGGCGTCACGAAGGACGAAGGTGTGGAGACTTGCGAGGATGCCGCCGCCGTGCCACGTTGGATGGCGACACCGAGCTCGCTAGGACAACATCCATCGTCAACATCAACAAGCTGGTGTTGCGGTGGATGGAGGCGTGGAGCTCGCAAGACGACACCACCGATGTCTACCTCATCAAGATGGAGCCCACGACGCAGGAGTCCATGAAGATGACACACACACCCCCGGTGCTGCCCGCAACACGGATCCCGTGATACGAAGAAGATGGTGCTACGCGATGACACGTCTTCACCGACCCTTACCACGATCATGCAATGTGTTTCCTTTGTCTTGGCGGCCCACCGAATACGGTGTCCAGCCGAGACGAGGTGCACTCTTCATTGTCTTAGCAGACCACCGAATACGGCGTCTAGCTAGGACGGGGTACCAACCACGCCCTTCCATGATGTCACCTTTCTTCGGCACCACGATGCTTTGCCCTTGTCTTGTTGGACCACCGAATACGACGTCCAAACGAGACGAGGTGCACCATTCATTGCATCAGGTCTCGTTTGTCATACGGGTGGCGTGATCCTTGTCTTAGCAGACCACCGAATACGGCGTCTAGCTAAGACGGGGCATCAACCACGCCCCTCCATGATGTTACCTTTCTTCGGCCCCGCAGCGTGATCCTTGTTTTGCCAGACCACCGAATACAGCGTCTAGGCAAGACGAGGCATCCACCACGCTCCTCTAAGATGTTACCTTCCACGGTCTCGTGAGGCGGAGTCTTTGTCTTCACAGACTGTCGTAACCTCGGCGTCTAGTCGAGACGAGGCACCTACCAAACTGGCATTGCCGATATGAGCGAGCGTTGGTTTTACACCGACGCCGATCTCCATAAGAATACTCCCGTGAGGCGAACCCCTTGCGTACCCCGACGAAACCGCTACATCGTCAAGAAGTCTAAGCAGAGCAGGACCCATGCAACTTCAACACCGACTACATCGCTGTCAAGACCGATGAGGCGCGACGGCGAGGGTGAACGTGGCCGACACAGAGCCATGTTTTGAGCGGCACGTGTACCGACGAGGACACGGGCTTTGCCGCCGCCCACACCACACACACACACCAGCATCATCATGCATGGAGAACGCGAAGCGAAGACGACCACACGGCTTAATCGGAGGTATCTCGCGGAGCAACCCGCGGGAGTAATTAACCGGGAGCTTTTCGAGGCCCCGGGAACCAGGAGACCGCACATCGTCATAGTCATGCAGGCCGCGCTAGTAGGCCACGGAGCGCAATCATTTTTTAGGGAATCTTGTAATTTTGTTCATCCAAAGAGATAAATGAAATACTTGTCCCGTATCAGTTTTCTTTGTGTACTATAGTACACTCGCACGCCCGCAACGTTTATTTTCCCTTGGAGCGTAGAGAGATAATAATGCAATAACTAATGTTATTTTTTATTATTTCTCGTGTCAAACAGTGGGACTTACGTATAAGTTTTTCCTCCTTTGCAATGAAAACCTTTATATGCCCGTGGGTAATTCACCTAGTTTCTAACTATACATCATTTTTAGCTTTGTATTTGATATGCAATGCAGGCTGGAGGGTTCCTTGAGCCGGAGATCATCCACTACAACCCCAAGGACTTCGATCTCGGCAAAAAGAAGGCCTTCCCCTTTAGAGACCAGGTATTTCTTCTACATCGTGCTCTGAAAAAGTACAACTATTACAATGTTGCTGACCGACACTGCACAATGCACCGATGGCAGCATTTCTTCGCCTCGGTGGAGAAAGCCAACAAGGACCTCGGGGTTACGCCGGAGTACGACCTCCTCGACGGCTTGACGGACTCGTACAACCTCGACTTTGGCCGCGGGAGCTTCAGGAAGGAGGCTGACTTCACCACGAACGACATGATCCTCGGCAAGAAGCTCGTGAGCGTCTGAGTCCACCTGAGGCGTGCACGGATGGGCACATGGCTCATGGCAGTTCAAAGTGTGTGGCAACTGCGTGTGCCGTGTGCATATGTAGCACAGGGAAGACGATCCCAGTTTTGGGATATAGGTTGAGGTTCACTCATCCGATGAAATGTACTGCTGACACCTACTTCTCTCCTCGTGGCATTTGGTTTACTTTAGTTCAATTTATACTGTTTATAATGTTATTGGTTTTCTACTATCCGAACCCAAATTTGTTCACTAAAGACTTGAAAACCGTACCTATTAATATCGGTTTTCTAAGAGCGGAACCCGAATTTGATCACTAAAGATTTGAAAATCGAACCTAATAGATTGAAATATTCCGTTTAACTGGATTACTCATAGTGTCACACTTTGTGTTCTTAACATGCCAATAGAATAGGGACCTCCTATTTCCCGACCCGTGCAATGAAAAACAAGGTAACACACACACACCCTCGCTCTCCCCACGCGTGAACTTGGCCCGGCCCAGGTGCGGGACAGGTCTCCCTTGTTTACTTTTTCGTTTCTGTTTTTATTCTTTTGCTTCTTTTAAATAATTCAAGATTTGAAAAAGATTTGAATTTCAAAAATGTTCATGAACTAAAAAAATGATTAAAAAATGTTCACGATTTCCAACCATGACATTTTTTGATTTTGATGAACAGTTTTTGTATTTTTATGAAGAAATTTTGTTTTTATGAATATTTTAATTTTTTGAACATCATTTTAAATTTGATGAAATTTTTTATTTCAAGAATATTTTTCAAATTGTATGTGTATTTTTTGAATGTATGATCGTATTTTGAAATGTACATTTTTGAAATGGATGAACAATTTTGAGTTTGTTGAACAAATTTTGAATTCAATGATTTTTTTCCAATTTATGAACATTTTGAATTCGATAAACAGAAACTGCTCACAAATATTGGAAATGTTCACGGAAATGAAAAATACAAAAAAGAACAAAAGAAAGGATAAAATAAAACAAAATAAAAACAGAAATGGTAAAAAAAGAAAACAAAAAATGAAAAATGAAAAATGAAAGAAAAACAAAAAGGCCGGTCTGGGAATGTTACCAAAACCGGAAGAGGGAGCATGCGCTACCATCAGGGGGTGCCCATTTGATCAACAAACGTCGACCTACATGGAGAGTAGGAATCCCGAATAGAATACGTTGAGGCATTGAGAAAGAGGTGTTGCTGACTATGGGCCTCACTTGCTCTTTGCATTGGAGCAGATGTGCCTTAAAAGTCAGTGGGGCATGTAGAGAAAAAGAAGTCGATTGATATTCATGGAAAGCTCAAATGGGCAGCACTAGGCACCTGTTGACTGGCTCTAGCCTCGACCAGGGCGATTCCCATTCCCCCGCGCGGGTCGGGGGACACGGAACAAACGCGCGCCCCCGCCCGCGCGGATGTGCCGGACCATTAGTCTGTTATGCGTTTTTCTATCTATTTTCTTTAATTAATTAATTCTGTTCTCATTTTCCTTTTTCTTCTCTATTTTTTTCATATTTTCCTTTTCCAAATTCCTAATAAAAACTAAAATTCGTAAACACCTTTTAAAGTCATGTGCAATTTTGAATTCATGAAGGTTTTTGAAAACCATATACATATATTAAATTTTGAACATTTTTTGAATTTGAGAACATTTTTGAAAAATCATGATTTTCTTCAAACTTCTGAACATTTTTTTTGGAAGTCATGAATATTTTTAAAACTAAAAAACATATTGTGATATTCATGGCCGTTATTTGAATTCAAGAACTTTTTTTTTAATTTGTAAATATTTATTTCGATCACTTAATTTTGTTACTGGTTTGCCGGTGTTTCAAAGCACACCAAACATATTGAAAGATAACCACTTATTCTTTCTGCGATACTAATATATGAATTTTATTTTTCACCAAAGATATATAAGCTATATCTGATCGTGTATTAATGTGTAGATACTAGTCAATTCATTAATGTTTGTAAAATTAGTGATAATTATTTTGTTCTTATGATAATCATATCTCACTGAAGATCTGAGGCAGAATTTTATTGATGGTTATTTGGTGCATATTGATAATACTCCATATTTTGACATCATATTTATTATTTTCCACATTTAGGACGGATGCCCATTCGATGTGGGCGGTCCATGGCGGCCCCTATGTTTGTTTGGACCGTTTCCATTACATGCGTTGCGTCGCTATGTTCGGCCATCTTCAGTGTTGCATTGAGCATCTTTTTTTTTTGTTTATTTCTTGTTGCTATAGGAAGTTCTAGTTACAAACAGTTTTTAGCGGAAGTTCTAAATTGTTAAGGGTCTCAGTTTAAGTCCGAGCAAGGAAAGAGAGCCCATTCGCCCTTCAAGGACTTACATGCACAATAGGATAAGGAAAGGAGCCTGGTTGAAAATCCTGTGGGAGTATGGTGATAAGCCATGTGTAGGGAGGAGTAGTATGTTGGCTTTCATTAAATTTTCTACCTCGCGCGGTGCGGTGTTTTTTTTCTTCGCGTGGTGCGCTGCACCCCCACGCGCGGCGCGGTGCGGTGGTCTTTTTTCCCTCGCGTGGTACCGTGCGTTAGAGGCATTGATTGTGCCTAGCACTTCTTGAGGCTTTATATGTTAGGTCCTGTGGGGCCGGCCGTCTTGTAGTTCCGATGCTATGCTTTTATTTGCTCCTTTCCTTTGCGAGCGAAGAAGGCAAAAGTCTCGCAAGTGGTAAATCCTTTTCTTCTCCTCGATGGCAAGCATCAGCAGAGCCTAGGCGCCTGGCATCCAGTTCCATCTCTCGAATACGCCGCTAGCTTGGTGCAGCCGCAATCCAGAGGGGAGGTAGCTTGCTTGGCATGGTCGCCGGCCGCGTCCTTGCCTTCACTCGGAGTCGGAGGTAGCCGGCCATGAGAGCTTCTCCCTCCTCCTCGCCGTGCCTGCATGGCCACGGAGGCAAGGTGGCGTGCGCGGTGGCCGCCTGCCTTGCGCTCGTGACCTTCCTGGTGGTCGCCTTGGATCCCAGGACCGGAGCTTCGTCCTGGTTCCTTTCTTCCTCGTCTTCTCCTCCAGTCGTTCTCTCTTCCTTCTCCTTGCGGCCGACCGCGAGGGGTGGCAGCAATGGAGGCGGTGCCCCTCTGTTGGCGACCTCTAGCTACGCTGCTGCCGGCGGCAAGAACAGCAGCGGCAAGGAGGTGCTCTTCCGGGAATATGCTGCCGGCGGCGACCCGGTGGTGGCTTCCTTCGTCAACGCTGACTCCGGCCACGTCGACGGCCCCGTCTCCGTCGCGCCGGCGCCGGCTCCGGTACGGATTTTTTTTCTCGAGCTTGCCCTCGATCGTCTCTACTAAACTTTAATGAAAAATTTAATTCTCACCTTCCTCGTTTCAAGTTACTTCTGCTGCTGCCGTGTGTGTGAACCGGAACTGGTTTCTGGGTTTCCGTGTCGATTGGGTGCGTGGTCGCTGCTGGGATGCATGCAGATGCAGCCGTGGAAGCCATGCATGCGCGCGACGCGACGCTTTCTCACGCAGCGGCGTTTTTTGTCCAGATGGGTACAGCACTGTTGAAATCAACTTATTTCGGGCGGCCGATCTCGCGCCCTCGGGTGCTGTTCTCTCGCCACGCGCCTCCTCGCGTGGCACCCTTCCCTTTGCTTATCCATCGTCGTTGACCAGGGCGCTTCCTCTCACATCTCCCTATCTTCCTCACAAACCACGGCGCATCCACGGCCACCGCTGCACTGCACACAACAGCGGTGCTGGGACCGACACGTAGGGGTGCTACGACCAGCGTGCGGCGGCGACACCCACCGCCGGCCGACTGCTACAACCGTGGATGTCGACGGCTGCGACCGTCGAAGACAAATGCTACAACCGCGTGACCGGACCACGGGGCACAACTGCAACCAGCGTCGATCGAGCAAAGCTGCGACCGGCCAGGTGCTGGCACACTGCTTCCGAGTGGGACCCGAGCACCATGTCGGCGGCGATCTAGCGCGCTTGCGCTGGTCTGCCGGCGCCAAGCACTGCCCGTCTTAATATCGTTTTGTTTCTTACTCCCGTTTGGAGCGCAATAATTGTTTTCTATTCCTATGAGAAATGAACTGCAGCGTATAAAATTCCCATGGATAGTTTAGTTCATGATTTAGATGCATACACTGAAGAAGAAAGATACATCCCGCTTTCTTTCCTTTTATTTTGAGAGAGAAAGATGCTCTTGTCATGGATCTAGCAGGTTCCTTGTGAGTGAAGAAAGACATTTTCGTCCCTGCCATGCATGGGCTTGACTTGAAGGCACATAGTTATGGAAACACTTCCAGATTTGCGAGAGGACCACACAAGTAGGCTAGGGGTTTTGACGCTTTGATCCGAATCGGCTAGAACTTGCCCTCACGCTATTTTTGCACAAGCTTGAAAAGAAAAATTGCATGCCGAATTGATTTCTTCGCGACGTTACCCTCCGAATCGGCTAGAACTTTGCGCTGCTCCTGAAAGTGGAAACTTATAATTGAGATCCATGCTTTGTTTGTGCGTAATTTAGAGCTGTCAATGGGTTTTCATTCTTTAGAAAGTAAAGTTTCTGTACCGTATGTTTCCGACCAACTATGTTACACTTCTGTTTGTATATAGCACGATTAATTTAACAGTTTTGCTAGAACTCATCTAGATGAGATATAATTTGGTCTCATTCACCTTTTATAGCCATTGGATGTGATGCTATAAGATGCGTGTGTGCTGACGTGGGTTGTATCTATTCTTGTATTTAAAGTGAATGAGACCAAATTATATCTCATCTAAATGAGTTCTAGGTACTCCCTTAATTTAACAACAACGCTATAACTACTGGGCCTTAAAGGCTTTGTTGTTGTTGTTGTTGTAACCTACTGATGTTGCAAAATGATTTGAACTGGGCTTATCGAATTACTTACATCTATATACATTGTGTTGCAGGAAAGTGGATTTGACGATGCCGCTAGCCCGGACGACACAGTTGAAGTAAGGGTGCCGCTAATGCAGACGAGAGTGGATGTAAAACTGGAAAGGGTAGAACTCGGTCTCGCGAAAGCTCGTTTAGTGATAAGGGAAGCTATCCGAAACAAGGACAAGCGTCCTCCACTAACCGACAGGGATTATGTGCCGGTTGGACCGGTGTACAGGAATGCCTACGCATTTCACAGGTACGCAAATTCCTTCCGCGTCTAAACACTCTACCATTAGTCATTAGGGTATGAAATGGCTAAGGAGTAGTATTGGAAAGACACATCTGACATGGGCGCTGTTTGCTTATTTTGGCACGTAGGAGCTACTTGGAGATGGAAAAGCTGTTCAAGGTGTATGTGTATGAAGAAGGCGAGCCACCGGTGTTCCACGACGGTCCGTGCCGCAGCATATATTCATCGGAGGGCAGATTCATATTTGCCATGGAGATGGAGAACCGGATGCGCACGAGGGACCCCAAGCTTGCCCATGTCTTCTTCCTTCCCTTCAGTGTCGTCAAGATGGTGAAGATGATCTACGAGCCCAACTCGCATGACATGGAGCCGCTGCGCCGGACTCTCTCGGACTACATCGACGTTCTGTCCACCAAGTACCCGTACTGGAATAGGAGCCTCGGCGCCGACCATTTCATGCTCTCCTGCCACGACTGGGTAAGCATGCAACTTCACTCACTGTAGCATTTCAGGAGTTTGCCGAAGACATGCAACTTCACTCACTGTAGCTCAGGTGTGCTAACCGTACCATGCATGTATATATGATTGTGTATCAGGGGCCATATGTTTCGTCGGCGGACGGCCATCTCTTTTCCAACTCCATCCGCGTGTTGTGCAACGCCAACACCTCCGAGGGCTTCAACCCATCCAAGGACGTGTCGCTGCCGGAGATCAACCTCCGGACCGACGTCATAGCTGATCAGGTCGGCGGGCCGTCCGCATCGCGCCGCCCCATCCTGGCCTTCTTCGCCGGCGGCGACCATGGCCCCGTCCGGCCGCTGCTCCTGCGGCACTGGAAGGGCAAGGACGCCGACGTGCAGGTGAGTGAGTACCTGCCCCGCGGCGTGTCGTACATCAACGTGATGCGGCGGAGCAAGTTCTGCCTGTGCCCCAGCGGCTACGAGGTGGCCAGCCCCAGGGTGGTCGAGGCCATCTACCTCGAGTGTGTGCCGGTGGTCATCGGCGACGACTACGTGCTGCCCTTCAGCGACGTGCTCAACTGGCCCGCCTTCTCGGTGCGGGTCGCCGTGGCGGACATACCCAACCTCAAGAGCATTCTCGCCGCCGTGTCGCCGCGGCAGTACATACGGATGCAGCGCCGCGTGAGGACCGTGCGCCGCCACTTCATGGTCAACGGCCCGCCGCGCCGGTTCGACGTCTTCCACATGATCCTGCACTCCATATGGCTGAGGAGACTCAACGTCAGGCTCCACGCACAAGACTACTGATATATTCATGGGTTTCCCTTCTTTTTATTTAGGCAGCGTCTAACAACGACCAGTTTTCAACTGGTTTTGGTTTGGGTCTAGCTAGGCCAAATTTCTTGTCTAGTTGTGCATGATTTGACACATGTCCACCGGCCTAGTTTTACATGGTAAAAAATTGTTTTTGGTTTGGGTCTTATCTTAGGGAGTGTCTAACAACCAGTCAACTGGTTTTGCATGGTAAAAATTTGTTAGAACTTGGGGGTGAGGTGGCGTATTGGGAATGGAGAATCAGTTCAAATTTGTCGGGATAAATGGGTTGCTCATGAAATTCTTCATCCTGCCTTTGCCATTTTTATTTTGGAACATATCCTGCCTTTGCCAGTTTACCAAACTGTGGAGTACTTGTCAACGGGAAGATACTACTAAAAGTGAAGATACTTACCAAACCGTGAAGATTTTGTCAATTCCTGTTGGTAATTGTGAGGACTTCGCTATCTGGCCTTATACTACTAAAAGTGACATTTAGTCGGCTAAATCTGCATGCAACTTGGCTCGGTCTACAAGGAGGTCTCAGGCACTTCATCTGATCCTATGTGTTCAACTAATTAAGCAATGGAAGATGCGTTGGTCGATTAAGGCACCAAGTAAAATGAAGATTATTTTATGGTGCCTAGTACTCCCTCCGTCTGAAAATACTTGTCATCAAATTTGTCAGGATAAATGGGTTGGTCATGAAATTCTTCGTCCTGCCTTTGCCAGTATACCAAACCGTGGAGTACTTGTCAATGGGAAGATGATACAGTTAAGATTTTGTCAATTCCTGTTGGTAATTGTGAGGACTTCGCTATCTGGCCTTATACTATTAAAAGTGACATGCAACTTGGCTCGGTCAGCAAGGAGGGCTCAGGCACTTCATCTGATTCTATGTGTGCAACTAATTAAGCAATGGAAGATGCGTTGGTCGATTAAGGCACCAAGTAAAATGGAGATTATTTTATGGCGCCTAGTACATGATTGTAGATAGACGGGTTTCCAGTTACAGCAGAGACACATACCTGCTGATTCACATTTGTTGTTTATGTGGACGGTTGGAAAGTGTTGAACATTGTTTTTTGATGTGTCATTTTGCTTCAGCTGTTTAGGATCCCATTAAACACCGATTCGGTTTTACGTAGGAAGCATATGAGAAATGCTAAACAATGGTTGTTTGATCTTCTTGCTAGATGCAATGAAACCCAAGCAATTGATGTCTCAGTTGTGTGTTGGCACATTTGGGATTGGGAAGCTTGCAATGATATCAGGAATTCTGAAACAAACTTGTGCCCAAGGATGATAATAAACAAGATTCAGGTGTATGTGGATATGATCATCATGCATTGTCGAAAGCCGGACCAATCCATAAGGGCGTGTTTGGTAGGCTGCATAAAGCCCAACCAGGCCCGAGCGGGATGGAAAAAGCCTGTTTGGTTGCTTGTAAAGAGTCTTGGCTTGCATCGGCACGATACTTAAAGCACCCCAGAGCTTGGCTCTCTGGGAACACTCGCGTAACACCGTCGATAGTTATGCTACAGTAACCTCACACTAATGATGCCATGTCACCATGCTTGCTAAGCTAAATTGCGCCTTGGTAAAAAACCAAATTCAAATTCAAGTTCAAATTCCAAGTTAAATAATATTTTTTTCAAACAGTAAAACTAAAATGTTTGCATTATCCAAAAAATTTCCGTGATCATTTATCATGTTGAAATCAACATCATTTGACTCACCAATTAATTCCTAGAAAATTATAAAGTGGTTCAACTACAATTAAAATAGGTATTTCAAATTAAAGAAATATCTAAACTATTCAAAAATAATCTAAACTTGTTGTGGTAGCTCAAAACATAGCCTACTATTTATGTCCTAAATATGTAGTTCAACTAAATTCCAATGGTATGAAAATAAATTGCAAAACGGTGACATGAAAATAAAACAGAAAAGAAAAAGGGG